GACTGAAGTTGTATCTGCAGTTTCTTGTTTAGGGCTTCTAGAGCTTCATACTGTAATTATTTGATGATCGATTTTATAGAATATTGGAAGTGCTTATGAAATCAAATTTGCTTCTCGTGAACTCTCAGAGTCCGCATGTCTTGAATTGTTAGTTTAACTGGAAGGAGATCTGGTTATAAGCGATTCCTTCAGATCGTCATTTATGATTCCAGTTATATTCACGGTGCGATTTTTTTTTTATTCTTCTGAGAGTGTAAGTGAGGATAGTACTGGGAATAGTAGCAGGAAGTTCGTGATGTTCTGTTGGCCGTTTTCTCGTCTGCCAGAAGGGTTCCTCAGGAGCTTTTAGCTGAAGTGGAAGTTTTAATTAAGGTGGTGACATACAGAAGAGGCCAAGGGTTTGCCAGCTGGGTCGAGCTTCTGAATGTCTTAACGTGGCATGAACAAAGGAGTTGGTACGTAGTGAAGCAGGACTTTGCGAAGCTTTTAGATTAAGCAGTTTCAAAATGATTTCATCACTGTTTGACGGCAAATGATCGATTAAAGGACATTTGATTAATTTGTAAGGCAAGTTTGTCGGAGGGTATTTGTCAAGGAGTAAATGAGTAATTCATTACTTTGGTTGATTTTGGCTTCATGGCGTGTGCACACGTTTTCTTTTGCATTTTTAAGGCTTGTTCAACTTAGTCGATGGTGGAAGACTTGCTGAGGCTAGTTAATGATCAACAGTCGACGGCTTTGATTTGTTCTAGATCTGGTTCTGCATCTTCCGTCTTAGCATGTTTACCTTAATTAGTAAACGGTCGAAGGTTACTGTGTCTCTGGGTGTTACACTTATGAAATAAAATAATCGTTAACCTGAAAACGGTTGTGTTTTCAAGGTATATTGGTGTGTATTTGTAAGCTGAAAAAAATTTTTTTTTTTTGAAGTTGAATGAAAATTTGTTTTAAGGGTGCCAGAGTACCAGTCAGTGGTTTGTTCTTAGTTGCATTTGATTTGGCGGTCGGCCCGGCACAAGATTTTTCTGTTATGATTTGTTTGATGAACGAGCGTTATTGCTTTTTGTTAAAATTGAGAGTTTATTGAGTCTTCCTCATTTTTTTAATACCAAATTGCGATTCGTGTTTAAATGCATAGTAAACGGTTGTTTTGTTTTGGGTAACGGTTAATTATGGGAACTGCTGTTGAATAATTTGAAGCTGTATAAGTGGTACTACAACAGTTATTGAAGAAACTCAATTTAATTTCGAACGGTAACAGTAAACATTAGTGGCTGTGTTCAGGAACCGGCAGTGATAGAAAATCATTTTGCCTTCTGAGCTCGTCAAGTTCCTGAAATCAGAGTAGTATTTGTTGATAAAAAGAGCGTAATCTTTAATTCAGCATCTTTGAAGATTGATATTGTGCACTATTTGCCAATGGTTACCAATGATGATGTTGATGATACGAATCATGGTTTACTTAAAAATGCTCGTACTAAACGCATAAATGATGAGTGCATCATGAGGTATTGTTACTCAAATTTACTTCTGTTTCTGTGCATCTCCTCGGCAGTAGATTGACACAAGTTTGTTTTGCATCGTAGTCTAAGAAGTTGCACTGATGCAGCAAGAAAGAAGTAGCAAAATCAAACAGCAAAGAAATTTTTGATATTGTATTTAACTCTGTATCGCACTAATCTTTCACTTAGTCTTTGTTGTTTAGTTTTTTTTTATTGGTACAAAAGATGTCGAGGAGGAGCTTATTTTAGAAAAAGACAGGTACGGTAAAAAACTGCAGGAAGATTTGTAGTTGTAGAGCAAAGTAACAAGTGTTTGGCGCGCATTAGTTCTATTTATTTCCACTTTATTGGGAGTAGCGAAGCAAAAAAGTGTCCGTGTAGATGGAACATACCTTGCTCAACTCTTCGATACGGCTTTGTAGTCGTTGGATTTCGTTGACGGCTTGTGACCTCACTTGGTATAATGTTGGGACTGTTGCGGCGGCTTTGTTGACGACGTTGTCGCGCCGCAGCGCACACAGCTCTAGTTCCTAAATAACTGAGGTATTCTAGTTATCATTCAAACAAATAAAGCAGTGGCAACTGATCCGGTAGCGAAAGAGTCAGGGGATGTGGACACATGACCTTTACAGAGATTCCACTATTCCTCTCTTGTCTTTCTTACGGTGCTCATCGTAGTCGTTCTTGACGAAGTTTAAGTTATAAATTTTAAAGGCAGGAATTGGAAATAAACAAGAAAAGATTTATACAAAAGTAAGACGTCTGTAACACAGAGTTAGATAGTGCCACTGCGTTTCTAACAAGTAATAGTGAGTCCGTAGCTGAGGAACTCAAAGAAGTTCTTCAAGCATATTTTAAGTAGGCAAAGTTCTGGATTACTGACAATCAGCAAGCTGAGTAGTATCCTGCAACAAATTTTTTTTTACTCTAAGAAATAATTAGATAAGTCCCTTAGTGAAAAAGCTGAGCCGATTCTAAAACACCATCGTATTGCCCATTAGTTGGATACTCATTTTCAGATTGAAGTGGTAGGAGTAAACAACACGTTTTTTAATTTTACATTCTATCATTCTACTGGGAAGCGCTTATTGGGAAATTATTTGTACAGGTTACTAGGATGAAGAATCCGAGTTAGTCATACGCCAATTAAGGACGAGTGCCACATAATCTTTCTTGCTCAGAGTTTTTGACTGTCTCCGTTGGGATTGACATCAGCTGATTTCTCCTTACGTCACTTCAACACGGAAGGTATTGCAGTTTTTGAAGCGTTTTAATGACTTTTACAGGAATATAGTGCTCGTTTTAATTTCGCAGTTCAATCCTTGAAAATTTCTTACTTTCTGGTAGTTACGAATTTCTTTCTGAAGCTTTCTGTAAAGGTTGCGGAACTGCCACAGTTCTTTGCCAACTTCACGGGTGCCGATTTTCATGATGTCAACTTGTTCGGCGTTCAAAGCATCCAATTTATTTTTTAATACACTGATCTTGTCCCTTCAATTATTTTGCTTACAGAAGTTTATGGTTTATTAAAAATTAAAAAAGTTTAAGAAGTCTACAAAAAGATTATTGGTTAAATAATTGTTACTTTTTCGCCAGAACTTTTTCTTCTTCAAAATCGTTCTTGGACTTAATTTGACTCAACTTCTCTTCGGCAGCTATACAACCTTTCTCCATTCGTATCAGGGTCTTTTCGCTGTCATTAGTCTCTTTGGCCGTCTTAGCTTCTCCTGCAAACAGTTATCATGGAGAAGATTGGGACAGCTAAATAAAATGTATTGTTGTAACGTATAAGACTTTCATATTTCCAACCAGCGGATGAATCTTGCCAGCTTTTTCATAGTTTTAGAAACACTACAGAATCTCTGTGAAGTACCATCTTTACTATTGGCCAACTGCAGCTTCAGCATTTCAGTCGTCCTCTTGAGACACTCGTTAACAGATTTCTCTTCTTCTAGTAGGCGTCTTCGGGCACTGTAATCTGTCTCCAGTGCTTCTGATTTTAGTCTCAATTCGAGTTTTCGGTGCTTTTTTTCAGAAATATTCTTCTTCGTAGTGGCCAACTAAAATTTGTTTGTGAGACTTCGTGTGCTCAGAAGGAGTATTAGCTAAAAAGCAACTGGACAGGGTTTATGGCGTATTGAAGTACCTGAGTGTTGTATTCGTTTTCTGCTTTTGCATTTCTTTCGTGGTATAGCATTGCTAACTGTTTTCTTAGTTTATCAGTCTCCTAAATGTTCAGAAGCATTTTAGGCTCTTTTTATCTGCAATTTCTAGTAATGCTGCTAACAGACTTATAGATGGGATTTAACTTTGCTGTTTTTCTTCCATTATTCGTCTTATAACGACTTTATAGTACTCTTGTACAGTGAATGAGAAAGCCATGGAGAATCGGTGCTTCCTTGTTATAATCTTATGATTAAACAAAAGTGGAACCAAAAAATTCTATAAGCTTTTGGGAGTTGGTTTCATACGTTTCTATTTGCGTAGCGTTGAGAGTTACAAAAAACTCAATGCTCCATTTCCCTTTTCTCCCACTGCAAAGGCTTCTTTATACTTTCATTTTTCGTCACTGCCTTCTTTTTCCCACGTTCTAATTTAACTCTTTTCGGGGGATTGGGGAAGCAAACAAGTAGGGAATTATAAAAAGTGATCAAGACGGAAAGAAACATAGTTTCTACCTCTTCCCAGCACCAGATATAAAGTACGAGAGAAAAAACGTCTTTCCGTTTTTGCGGGCAGAAGAACAGTCATTTTTTGGTGTCGATTATAAATGGACCATTATTCCACTGTTAACGTGCTAAAGACGCCTATGTAATTACCATACTGGTTACCATATTCTGTTTCATAAAAGTCATTGAAAACCAGGTTTACTGACGTTTAGAGTAAATTTGAACAGAGAATTTTATGTACTTCTTCAGTGCAATAATACCTGCGCAAAATCTACGGGTAAAAAGATTTTTAAGAAAGCTCGTGCGTAATGACGGCCTCATATAAGAACGTGGAGCAGGGACATCAGAAAAAACTCTGAGACTTGTCCAATTTTTTTCCGATAGGTTTAGAATGTGCACTGTTACACTTAAGTGTGCCGACCGCTAAACTAAAAAAAATTTTTTTTTTTTTTTTTGCGGTTAACGTACATCCAATTTTATTACGTTAATGACCTCTAGCAAAGTGATATTGTGAAATACTATAAGGGTCAAATTAACACACTGTCGGTAGGTCATTAGAGAGTTGAGAAGTGTGTAGATGAGTCTGAAGTTGTAACAGGTTGATCGAGGGGGTTGACAACCGTTTAAACAGAAAGTAAAGATAGGCTCAGCGCTAATGGAGTGCTTAAAGGTGAATATGCCTAGCTGTAGCGGCTTGCCGTTATTCATTTTAATATTTAATCTTACGGTTTGGACGTATTCTCTTCATCCTGTAAGAAGTAGCCTCGTTTTTGGCTCCACCTTGAGTCGCACCACTGATGGTGGTCGAATTATAATGAGGAAGCATCACATGTTTTTTGGGACTTCAGAGTGGGATGCTTTGAAGTATGTTTAAAAAAGTGGAGATGACAAATGTAGAAGGAAAAGATGGATTATGAATGGAAAAGAACAAAAAGACCATTTTTTTGCATTTAATGCTTTCTCCCAGTTCTTCAATTTGTTTTTCTCTGCTGCTGATATCCAAGAGTGTTAACTCGATCGCCTTTTTTATTTCGCCCAACCTTTTGGCTTTTTCGACTTTTATACGATTAATAGTAACTATGCTGTCCTCGAAGTTGGCAAAGTCGTCATCATTCTTTTGATTGCCTCTCTTCAGTTCATCAAGTCCGCTTAGTAGTTTTTCCCTTTTTCCCGCATCTTGCCTGCAGTAAGTACAATATTTTTTATTGCCTCGTTCAAGCATACTTTTGTCACTTAAATGAAAAATTTATTTTGAGGTGTGGTTAGTACTGACGGCAAATTTTTTATCTCTTTACTTTAAGTCACAAATGAAGAAACGCATACTCAGCTACATTTTTGAATTTGGTCAACTTATTCTGTCGTTCTTCTAGTAGTTTGGTTAGCTTCTCGTATTCATCCAGTTTCTCAAACGTTTTCTGCTCGACATTCTGGGCGCTTTCTTTCAAAAATTTCAAACTGCTCTTATTTTTTGATATTTTTCTGTAAAAAATTAGTAGTTAAAATAGTGCTTATGACAGTTAAAGGAAGTGTTTTGTAGAACATTAAAGTCTTCACTGTTACAATAAATTTAGTTGATAAACTTTTGAAAATAAACATTTTGGTTCTAATTCTTGAGTGTACGAGAAATATAAAATTATAAGTTTTGAAAAGTGTTTATCGGATGCTTAAGAACAATTAGCACTTTCTTTTTTCCTCTATTTTTTTATCAGTGTTTCGGATATTCGTTTCTAATGCCTCAGCGGATGCCTTCAAATAACTTTTGTCTGTATCCTAAAACAAAAAATACAACACTCTTTGCCGCTAATAAAAAACATAGCTTCAATAACAGTGTATCTGCTTCCGATGACATCTACGTTCACACGCTGTGATTTTAAGTTAAGTAAATAGATAATAAATTTTTGACAAGGCAAACTTCTTTGGAAAGAATTTACATTTCAAGACACTTACAATTTGTTATTAGAAGTCAGATTTAACACGTATATTTAGTGTTTGAAAGGCGAAATTGTTCACTGAAAAACTAAGAAACTACAATTACACCTGTATGAATTGCTCCTTTTTTGTTTCTGACAACTGCCAGGTGGTGCTGCCATTTTTGGACGGCCCACTATCACTGAATTCTTTCCCGACCAAAGCTCGTTGGCCAAATGCACCTTGCAACCTGTTGTTGATGCTGTTCAATTGAGACTGCACATCGTTCTCTGAATTACGGTTATAATATTGTAGCCTGACAAAATGAACAGACTGTACTGCTCAATAATTGATCAAGGTGATGTACTTTAGGAAGAACAATATTTACCTTGTTTCTCAACGTTCCTCAATTTTGTGTTGAAGCTTTCAATTTCATCTTTTGCTTTAGAAATTTCGTCTCTTAGCTGGTGGCACTGTTCTTGAACTTCTCTAGTACGATTTTTGCGACCATAGTTTTTTTTTCTGTCATAAGCACATTCTGCCAAGAGTTTTTCTATCTTCTGCTGGTTTTCTTCGTTCAGTCCTCGTTGCTTTTTTAGTGATGTTTGCTAAACTACTTCCTTAAAATTGTTGACTATTTCTTGATAGTTATAGTATGTTTAGTATCTTACTGATTTGAACAGTTTTTATTGCCTGTTGTACCTCTGCTTATATCCAGTTTTAGAGTTCTAAAATAAATAGCATAAATGTTCTATTAAATCAGTCTTATAACAGCAACTTTCAGACTGTAGTTTGGTTTGGAAAGAAAATTTTCAGAAAAAAAGCTATTGATGATGAATGCTCGTGCAAAAACCTACCAGTTCTTGCAGTTGTAGGCTAAGCTCGGTATTCAGCTTCTCGAGGTGGCGTGAAATAAGTGTATGGTACTTAACTAGTTTAGGCTAGAATTGACAAGGGCTGATCAGAACGTTAAGCCAATCACAGAACATTCAGTTCATGCATTAGTAAGCATTTACTTCAGTCATGGTACCCAAATGCACAATGCATTCAGACCGCCGCTAAGGGACATAAACTCGATAATTTTAAAGCTATAAGTATTTCTGCTCCCAACAACTTGCGAAAAATTGATTTGCGCAATCTTCGTTCGCATGTTCTGAACTACCAGCTAAACTTTGGAGGTTTTAGTTACCATCTTTACCGAGGGTTAAAAGAAGGTTGAAGTCTGTTGTTTAAATTCTATAAAAAGTTTGTTTTAGAAGTAAGTCGTCCTGTTAAACGGTCAAATAAAGCTGAGCACATGTAAAGGTTGCGCAAAAAAATTTCTTAAAAACGTTTTTTTTT